ACTTAGCTAGAACTATTCAGTTTTGCGAAACAGTTGTATTATTACCTCATCAGCTTCAGCTGCTCAAAATAATGAATGATGTGCAGTGGCGGAATATTTTTAAACCATGTGACAACAGAGCCACTCCCACCTGCCGGTAGAAACAGGTACTGCTGAATGGATTACTTTTTAAATACCCGACACAAACGCTGCTTTAGGTAGAATACGCGTGATATACACGTGTTAATTGTCAGAACTTTAATAACAAAATAAATGTTATACAAACTATTTTTATTTAAGTGCAACATATTCCAAAAGATCTGGGGCTTTTGACAATACATCAGGGGCTTAAGCCCCCAAAGCCCCCCCCCCCCTCGCAACGCCCCTGGACACTACAATAATTGTTATAAAACATTGTACAGTATTCTAAGCTATAAGATGTTGCTGTGGGATGACGTGAGACAAAACAAACTAAATATAGAGGAACAATAACGTTTGGCATTGCACTGACTACAACTGGCCAACAAACTAGTCTAAAAATGACTTTTTCTGCTTAAGAAATGGATTACAGCATGCTGATGATATGCAAACATTAGAGTGTGAAGTTCGTCAGTATTGACCAAATTCTTCATGTACCAGCAGGTGTCGCCATTGGAATCTTTTTGCTTGAGACTTTTTTTTAAAGAATTTATTTTTAGATCCTTAAAACAGGGTTATTCTGCTTAGGTATGGAAAGGTAACCGTTTTCAAGGTATACCACAGTACGACAGTATATGTAAGGTTTTTTTTTTTAACATTTTGTTATAAGTTTTTCAGGACAACAGTATCTCCAGCAAAAAAAGATATCCAAAGATGCCATTTTTTAAATTGTAAAGAAATCTGTGTTTTTGAAACGAAGGATTCATTTGAATGATTCAGCCTGACATGTTTACTGCTCCATAATACTTTCTCCGCGGTTTCACAAACAAGGTTTAAGGCTAGTCAAGATTAAATTGCATGTTTGAGCGGTCTCAACTCAAAATAACTTTCCGTGAGATAAAATACATCAGTGTATTTTTTTTCCTCCAGGTGCACACCAGTAATATATTTTACTAAGGCCATTTTTATAAATTTGGCTTAAATAGCCTAATTTAACTAAGGACTAATCCCAGCTTAATCTAAGCCCTGTTTGTGAAACTGAGCCTCAAAGTTTCTTAAAAGAAAATATATTGTGTTCAAAGGGAAAAAGTTCTTGTTTTTTTACCCAAAGATTAAAAAGAATATATTTTAGAGCAGTAATCACAATACAGTGAAACTGTGATATTTATATCCAAGCTTATCATACCGTCAGAATCTTATACTGCCCCATGCCTAATGCTGCTTGATGTTGCAAAGTCATATTTTCTCATTTTATTATTTTTCTTTGTATGTATAGTCATGAACACATTTGTTTTTAGAGCAAGTAGCCATTTATTATTCCAGGTCATTTCTCCAATAGGCAACTAAATTGGAGGTTCTAAAACAATAGCATATGAGATCAGGTCACTACTATGGCCCCATTTACACTAATGCGTTTTAGCATTTTTTTTATGCAATCGCATTCATCAAATTGGCTTAAACCATGTGTTCTTAAGTATGGCTATATTTCACAAGGATTCTGACAAAGCAACGTGAAGCAGGCGCTGTACAAAATTTGCGTTTAAGGAGGAAACACATCAAACTTAATAAATCATTTGAGCGGACATGGAATCATCTTAAAGGCAGACGAATGCAGATGTCTTGGACAGCTCGCAACATTATCTGGCACTTTCACTGAGTACATTTATATGTACTCAATGAGTTTATATAACTCAATGAGTTCCTAGGCCGCTCTGCTTACAGTTTCAACAATCAAACAATTATACTCTTTACACAAGTCCAGAAAGGGTGGGATCCAGGTAAACAGTTCTCATTGGTTACAACAGAAATAGACAATTCTAAATACATGCGTCAAAGAAACATAGTATCTGCTTCCAGATATGGATGGCCTTAGTGTGTGCGTCAAAAAAAAGCATTGTATCTGTCTCCAGATATGGATGGCAACCTGATGCCTAGAGGTGAGGTCGCCCTAAGTTATTAGCTAAACCAGGAAAACAATAGACACAAACGACCATTTGTGTTAAAGACTCAAGGATGTTTCTTGTACGTTCAGCTGTGTTATCAGGCTGGTTCAAGACTGTTTCCATCAACAGTCTGCTGCAATATCTTTACTACACACAGTCTATCTCCACACAAAAAGGAATTACATTAAAATTAATTATACTCAAAAACAGATCAATCAAACAGCTATAATATTATAGGCAATATCAGGACAACTAGAACAGGTGTCTTCTTCTCCTCTGTATGGGGAGAGAGAGAGAGATCTCCATGACCTATGACCTGGTTTGTGTGTTTCCTGAAAACAAAGTTAAAATAGACAGGCAAAAAGAGAAACAAGGACATAGAACATTCTTACAGTAAGCAGTTTTAACTTATTCATTAGTTAAAATCAATTCACAGTTAAATACTGAGAAACAGGATGATGAAAAGGATAAACGTTGGTCCATGATGAGACGGATTGGAAAGCAGAAATCCGAATCCTTCACTACCATGTAAACAGTTGTTCTTTTTTTTTTTTTATTACCTTAAAGGAACACCGAGTCACGAAATGCGGAGGTTTTTCTTTCCGTTCGGTATGTGGTATCAATTTCTATTACAGCAAAAGTCTGAAGATTAAAAATGAAACATACTAAATTAGATGAAATGCTGGAAAGCCTGGTAATGCAGCATTAATTTTTTTCATTAATTATTTTATACTGAAACGTTCCTTCTAAAAGTGCTTCCTTGGTCTTATGCATATTTCTTTGCATGACTACAACAGGAAGTATAACAGCAACTGCTTTCATTTTTTTTAAACATTTTATATATATATATCAAATTAAATGCATGAGTTAACGCTCTAATTTTGACAGCACTTTAAATAAACAATTGTTTTCAAATGGCAACAAATGTTTTTAAATAGAAAGCAGCAATTTGCAGCAGTTTTGAGAGCAAATAAAAAATCCCACTGCTTGTGTGTGCACGGCTCTTTGTGGCCATTATTTGAAACTTATTGTGCTGACGTTAAGTACATTTTGAATGTTACAGTATCCCTCCAATGCATTAAGACTTTTCCTTGCAAGCTACAATTTGCAGTGAGCGTGTATTCTCTCTCTTGCGCACAAGCAAATATTTCAATGTATTGTGACAAATATTTAACTTAACGTTAATAGGCCTAAATAATGACCTATATTTTAAAATCTGCAGTTTCCTGTCAGCCCTCTTTCTTGCTTTGTTTCAAGCCGTACTTTTTGATTGTTTAAATTATTATATATTTGAACTTATATTTGAATCAAATGCTATTCACTCGCTGTGAACATTGTGGTGTCTCATTTCAGAGCTCTTTCATTCATCGTAGTTGCCAAGGTAGCATACAACATAATCATAATGATGCATCTGTGCTTGACCTTCAGGGTTTCATGACAGTAACGTGCACGAGTAGTTATCTAGATTATTTCAGCTGAACTCAGATTAGTTACATCAAATGATCTTCAACTTACTGTTATGGAACCAATTAAAGTGTGGACATTTAGTTCGGCTCACTAAAGTCACTTTAATTCCCGCTTTTTTAAACCACTTTTATGAAACAGCCCCTAGGGGTTATAAAATAATCCTGGGTGTTCATTAACAGACGTTTCACATTGGTAAACATCGGGGTAACGCTTTTATTTGTATATTTACATTGTCACTGTTCCCGATTAGACAAACAGCAGGTAACCTTTTTAGATGGCATTTCTGCATCTTGTCGAGTATATAAAATGTCACCATATAGGTCTTCAGCTAAGCCTCCGGACATGCACAAAGGCAAGAAAACTGAGACAAAAGTACAAATGAATGAAAACAAGTAGCAAAGTATGTCATCTTGCCATATTCTCATCACTACAGTTAAAAGCAAATGTGGCATTTGCACAAGTTCATTGATTCATTTTCCTTTAGCTTCTCTTTATTCATTAGGGGTCACCACTGCGGAATGAACCACCAACTTATCCAGCATATGTTTTAAACAGCGGATGCCCTTCCAGCTGCAACCCAGTAGAGGGAAACATTTGCATAAGTTATATACAATAATGCAAACTCACAAATATAAGCTGAATTATCCGTAATTGCTATGAACATGCAGGATTTGTCTCAACCAGGTCTTCCAAGCATGTTAAAAATGTTGAGTGGAAGATACAAATGAGGGAACACAACAGGAGTAATCTAGACCGAGTGCATTTGATCATTTGCATTTAAAGCCACAGGCACAAAAAGAGCTGGGTTTTCCTCTGACCCCCAAAATGAAATATTCTGCAAGGTATATGATCTGATTTTGAGCTGAAACCCCAGACCCATTCTGGAAACATTAAAGACTTACTTTACATCCTGTAAAAAAAAGGTTCATAATAGGAACCCTTTAAAGGGATAGTTAACGCAGAAATGAAAATAGCCTCACCATTTACTCTTCCTCGTGTGGCTTTAAATCTTTGAGTTTCTTGATTCTGCTGAACACAAAAGAAGATATTGTGAAAAAATGCTGGCTTACTTTGTGTTCCAGAAGAAAGGAAATATTTAAAAGATGCAGAGTAAATGGTAAGGTCATTTTAATTTTTGGGTGAAAGATCCATTTCATGCTTGTCGCTTTGTGCCTTCATACTAAAGTTCACTTTTCTTTTTTTTTTTTAGACCTGATAGTGCTGAAAGAAGAGACTCAATGCAATAAAATGGAAGAGCAACACCAAGAAATAACAGCTGATGAAAAACCCACACTGACTGAAAAGACTTCATCACTCGGAAGACCTCGGAAATCCAAAACTGAGTGTAATTTTAGCAGTAAACAGCGTAGAAAGAGTTTCATTCAAAAGCGTAACCTTGGTGATCACATGAGAGTTCACACTAGGGAGAAACCTTACACTTGCGAACAGTGTGGAAAGAGCTTTGGTAAAAAGAGAAGCTTAAAGACCCACATGAGAATTCACACTGGAGAGAGGCCGTACACATGCCAACAGTGTGGAAAGAGTTTTAAGCAAATTGGCACCCTTAAAGGCCACATGAGAATTCACACTGGAGAGAGGCCGTACACATGCCAACAATGTGGAAAGAGTTTTAAGCAAAGTGCCACACTTAAAGGCCACATGAGAAGTCACACTGGAGAGAGGCCGTACACATGCCAACAGTGTGGACAAAGCTTCTATTATGCAGGAAACTTTGCAGCGCACAAGAGAATTCACACTGGAGAAAAGCCCTACACATGTCAACAGTGTGGAAAGAGTTTTAAGCAAAGTGGCACCCTTAAAGGCCACATTAGAACTCACAATGGAGGAAAAACACTGTGTGGTAAAAGTTTTGCTCAAAAACAAAAGCTTGACACCGACATGATGATCCACACTGGAGAGAAACCCTACACATGCACAGAGTGTGGTAAAAGTTTCACATGTAAAAGCTCACTCATTAACCACATGAAAACTCACACCAGAGAGAAGCTGTTTGCATGTAATCAGTGTGAAAAGAGCTTCACATGTAAAGCTAACCTCATGAACCACATGGATGGTCACTCTGGAATCATAGTGTTCATATGTGATCAGTGTGGAAAGAGTCTCACACGCAAAGACTACATTAAGCAACACATGAAGACTCACTCAAGAGAGGATCGTTTTAGATGCAGTGAGTGTGGAAAGAGCTTTAAACAAAAAATAAACCTCAGCGCTCACATGAAGCTTCACAATGCAGAGCAAAGTCCTCAACATTGAGACCTTCTCCACACAAACACGAGTATATTGAAAATGGCAGCTTTTTCATGTAGTTTGGCTGTTCATTGACATGAAGTTTATTTATAAACTACTTTCGAGAGGATCACATGCTTATTATTGTTCACGACTGGTCCAGCATTAGCTAAAACATGATTCACCAATCAGATGATTCCTGACTCCCTATAAATGACAAGAGATTCTTACCTCTTTTATCTTCATCGTTATCTTTTAGACTCCCTAAAGCCCTGTTCAGACTACACAATGCCATTTGTCAGTTACGACAGATGAGATTTGTGTCAGATTATGAGATTTTGACTTGATCAAATCTTGATGTGCTGTGGATAACAAATGAAGACTTTGGTTTCAAAACACTACACATATATTTTGATGGACTAATCTCAGAAAAGAAACAAGTTTTCTTCATGAAGACAATTAAACTTAAAAGAAGAAATTAAACTTTCAATAGACAACTGCTTGCCTTTAAATATACGTTCATGTGAAACTCCAACATTACTACAAATAAATCATTGTATGGGAAACCCAGTGTCACCATTGTGAATGAGAACATGAGTGATTTGTTAGCTTACATGCTAATTTCAGTACTCAAATGCAAATCTAAATGTATTTACGTGCATTTCTTTTTGTTTTTTAAGGGATAAAACAAAAAAAAATTTCATCTTATTAAAAAAATATCAGGCCGAATATTCCCATTATTCTGATAAGTAGCCCAAACTGTGAACAAATGTAGATTTGAACTACTGCGCACATGTCCACGCAGACCCACTGATGAGCGTTTACACAAGACACAGTCAAAACAAATGCAGAATGAAAACTTTTACAAATCCTGAATCAAGGAGCAGAGCTGATGTAGACTGGGTTGTTATGAATGGGTTATATGCACAGAAGTGTTGTTCAGCCACAGAAATCTTCTGACGAACAAGTTATGTGACTATTTACAGTTTCATAAGGGACCTTTTACAGCATCGATAATTCATTCATTCATTTTCTTGTCAGCTTATTCCCTTTATTAATCCGGGGTCGCCACAGCGGAATGAACAGCCAACTTATCCAGCAAGTTTTTACGCAGCAGATGCCCTTGCAGCCGCAACCCATCTCCGGGAAACATCCACACACACATTCACACACACACTCATACACTACGGACAATTTGGCTCACCCAATTCACCTTTACCACATGTCTTTGGACTGTGGAAGAAACCGGAGCACAGGAAACCCCATGCAAAGGCAGGGAGAACATGCAAACTCCACACAGAAACGCCAACTGAGCCGAGGTTCGAACCAGCGACCTTCTTGCTATGAGGCAACAGCACTACATACTGCTCCACTGTCTCACTTCCTATCATTTAAAAAAATGTTTGCTCCCTTCTGTACTCCTTTCTCTTTTCTGCTCTGATCTGGATGTCCTAAAACAGGTATATGTTTTATTATCCAACATTATTGAAACATTTAATAGATCAGTGAGTTATAAAACAGGTTCATTACTTGAAATGTTGTGTAAAGCTGTTGTGCTGCACTATATTTTGAGTGTGTTTTAGGATTATTTATTTATTTAATAAAACATTGAGTTGATAACCCATTTGAATGTCTTTATTATAGAGGTACATTTTACCTTCTCTGAAACAGTAATTGTTATTAAGTAAATTATATGAATAAACTATGATTTAAAAAGATATTTTTAACCGAATAAGTAGCTGTTAAATTTAAATGTGAGGTATTTTTTACCCAATTAATATACGTATTTAATAACTTTTTACTTCAGGTAGTTAATACTCAAAATATGGGATTAAATCTACCCAACCAAAGTCTGTGAAAATTGTTACCTCAGATTTATTGGGTAAATTCTATAGATTAGTTTTTACAGTGAGGGTTGACACAATTTGAGGTTTGTTTCCTGTTTTTCTGCTTGCAGATTATTTGTAAAAAGTGCAGGCCCTTACAAAAATAGCCTACAGGAATCCTGCAGAATTTTTTTTTCTTTGTTTTTCTGCAGGAATCTGCTGGTATCTGGTAGGAATTATAAAATCCTGCAGGACAAATTGACAATATGTGCAGACAATTCCTACAGGTTTTAGAATCATGCAGTACTTTTTACAGGAATCCTGAATTATATTTTTTTCCCTACAGGAAAGCGGCTGTCCTGCAGGAATTATAAAGTCCTGTAGGACACATTGACGATATGTGCAGGAATTTCTTACAGGCTTTACAATGGTTCCAAGCAAGTGACAAATCCTGCAGAATTTTATAATTCCTGCAGGACTTGCATTAGTTATTTGTTGTGATTGGAATGACAGAAAGAAATTCTGTCACTTGTTGTTGATAGCAGTACAATATGAGTTCTAACAGATAAGCAATACAACAAACAAGCAAAAAATAAGAAAATAAATGCATAAATAAATTAAAGTATACGAATAGATTATAGGCAATTATAAAAATCAACCATTACATTAAACCATTCAAGTTATGCAAACAAACAAGCTGTACACTTTTACATTTCATTTCTATAGGTTTTTTTTTTTCATTTATTAAAAATGTCAATCTCTCATCTTTTTGGTTGGATGCAAAAAAAAAAAAAACCTGCAAGACCTGAGGTAGACACATGTTAAACGATGTTTATGTAACTCATGTTATGAGTTCAACAGAATGTCTCCCTCTTTCTTTTAAAATGTTTGTTGCTGTTATCCCTGATTCTCTGTCTTTTTGACCTGAGGAACCTATTTTATTATGTGTCCATTGACACAGCTGGAACTGGTGCCTCTTAAACTCTATAGTTCATTTTTATCCTTTAAAAAGAAGTGGGTTGGGATTAGTCTTAGTGTGATGGGTAAACATAATGTGTTTTCTGCAATGTTAGAGTAAATTTAATTAGTAAATTATTATAAACATTTAATAAACATTTAAAAAAATAAGATATAAAAGCAAAATCAGACACTGCTGCCAATATTGTATTGGTCTATGTTATACAAGTATAATAATTACAATATTTTAAGTTAATAATGACTAATATATGTGTGTGGGTGTATTATTTGGCAAAATGCACTTGAGTAGACACATTAAAACAAACATTCTTTATAGACTTTTTTCTATAAGAAAATAAATTCATTGTTTGTGGAATAGTTGTGTTTTAATAAATCAGCTTTACAGGTTCATACAGATAGTTTATCACACTTAAAAAGACGCTTGTTTTTGCCACCTAGTGGCATAACAGTGTGGTTTGCATTATAAATGGTAAAATTAATCATTCAGAAAAAAGATTTGAATCATTGAGAACTGAATTGCTTCACGTTGCCGATTCGAATGCTTGTCAGTCAACTGTCACCAACCGTCTTCTGAAGGTAAAGTACTTTTCTTAAGTTATTTTATTGTTAAAGTGCTCTAATTACTGCTCGGTTTTAACGTTAAATCAGTAAATTGCTTTGTAACATCAAAACAAATGCTTATTTTATTTTTAAAGTCGAGATCATATTAGTAATAACTAGCACATTGCTAACATAATATATCCAGAACCTACCAATTTATACCTGTTAACATTATATTGTTAACTTACTTAACTTACCTTCCAGAAACCCCTGAAGAGATGGAGGAGGAATTAGCTAACCCGTCCAAGCGGATAAGGACAGCAAAAATCCTCAACCAGGATGAAGAATAGGACGAGAAAGGAACTGAAAAAGAAAAAGGAGCTCTGAAAGAGAAAAACGTAACGTATTTATAAAAATCTTATTCTAAACCTCTGAATGTTACCTCATAGATTGCTGTGGTCTTCGTCTTCTTACTGAAACTTCTGCTTGTCAAATGAATCACTGGCAGTTCATATTAATCACTCAAATCACTCCAGTTTGTTATCTATCTGACAATGAATCAGATTATGGAGTCATTTTAGTAAAAGTCACGTCACTAATCGGTTTATTCGAACACTTTGCGTGCACGCTCTTCAGTTAGTATACAGAGTTTTAATTCTCATTGTACGAATAATTTTTTAAAAATATTTTAAATCGTTTTACGACATTAATTACCTTTAAAGTATTAACACTCATACATTTTGAATTCAGCTCGATTTATTTGTTAAAACTTTAAATATATTAAAATACAGGATATATAAATATTAAAGCAAAACCATCCATCGTGAACTATGATCTTTCATATGTTTGACCATATAAGTCATTGATCCATTATCATGAATTGCTAGCAATTTAAAGAATTCAAACTTTTGTTAAAAGCATTGCTTAGAATATATTATACAATTATCAAGTATTAAAAAAGTCTTCTAATGTCTAATCTTGCTTAGCATGGTTCCAAACTTGTATGTCTTTTTCCCATGAGGTTTCCCTCTACCTTTGTATATTTGACATTAAGCATTTATTTAAAAAAAAGAAAGCTGGTGATTTTTTAGAATTCTGTACAGTTCATTAATTACATTTCTATCAATGATTTGTAGAAAACATTAAGGTTTTAAAAACCCTTCTAAAAATTCTAGAAGACAGAGAGGGAGAGGCCCCACTTTTTGAAATGGGTCCTCCCCCCCAAAAAAAAACCCACAGATGACAGAGATCACAGATTTTCTGACAGCGAAGATGAAGTAGTAACTCTTCTTCTTCAAGAAAATATAGATCAATGAAGACACAAAATCAAGAGCTTCAAGAAGAGCTAGAGAAATGCACAAACAAGTAAGAGTTTAATAATTAACAATTTCATTATTAAATAATAAAATATATATATATATTTTTTTTCTCGAGCAGTAATTAATCAGGACAGTGGTCAGAAATGGCTTAATTGTCCTATAATAAGAATAATAATAATAATATTAGAACATCAGTATTGGCGTTTAATACTCATATTATTTTTTTATTATTATTGTTTTTATTAACGAGCCCCTTGTGTATCCCTAGGGAGTCGAGCCAGGTCCAGTCAATAATATGGTGATTTTGTCTGCGAGGCCCGAAGAGAGGAAACTTGCTGAAGGATTAAGGTGGGACACTTGTAAATTCTATTTTCAATTCTATTTTACATGTATGTTTGTCAAACCAATGATTTAAAATACAACAGCTTTAAAAAATACTTTAAACTCAAACTCAAGAAGATGAATATGGTTTTACATAAAATGTGAATAGGACAACAAATTCAGAACTAAGTAATTCAATCTTGATTAAGTACACTTTATAAAGGTGTCACCAGTGAGCTGTCTGATCTTTCAGTCCTTCAAGTGGCAGAAATTTAAAAAGACTTTGCCAGTTCTACAGCCCCTTTGGTCACCACAATTGGGATGTCGAGTTAGGATTTTCGGGTGGATTCTGCCTTCGGAAAAATTCAAATTGGAAGTGTCCTGTCATACCAACAGCCAGCTGCAACAAACCACAACATTGTTCCTAATCGTGATGCCCCACCAACACCACCACTGCCACTAGATGGTTACAGCCACCTGTCTGCTTGTTTGTTCATAATAATCAGGAACAACTTCACATGAGGTCATTGACCGTAACTTCAGAAATGGCTCACTATGTTGAGCAAGCCACCAGATATCAGA